CGCTGTCCACACTGCCAGGCGAAAGCACTGTTTTCAAATGTATATGTCCTCGAGAGCGTTTTCAAAACGCTGCTTTTTCCTTGAGTGAAAACGCCATCTCAGTGTTGACGGGAGGCCAAAACGAAACGCATTAGTGTGGACGTAGCCTCAAAAATACACACAAACCCATGGGGGCGGATATTTTGTCCCCATAAAGGCTGTTAGTCCCCACAAAGATATGCAAACATGACACACACACACACACACACACACACACACAGACACAGAGGAGCAACAGTAACACATGGTGTAACACTTTCATTGTTACTCCACACTTTTGTCTACTGTGTAAAACGTTTCCCAGCAACATTTATTGTATTCAGATAAGTAACTGCAGTAAGACTTTTATTTTGTTGAAGTATTTCATTTGCCATGTAAAAACAAAACTGATTTAGAAATATGTTGGAGGACATACTGTGTTGTTTTTTTCCACTGTCTGTTGCCTAACAGGTCACCTCATGTGGTTAAGTTTTTCCTATTTGCTTGAATAACAGCAGAGATCAAAGTTACTAGTTGCTTGTTTCATGGGAACTTGCTGTTGTACATAATTCTGTTTTAAAAAACTTTGAAATAAGTTGCCCTGCATTCTGTATATTTGTGTGGGATTTAACACAGTCTGGAGCCCAATCCTAACGAATTTCTGCCCTGGAGCTGTTCACACTATCGTCTTCTATGGAATGAAATGTGACAATAATAATCAGAATTTGGGGGGAAAAAAGAAAGAAATCTAGGTGGTCATCTAAGTACTAAAGTATTTTTTTATTTTCACTTATAAGCATGAAAAAGCATGTCTCAAGTATGAAAAACAAGGCTTTAGCTGGAAGTCAGTTAACTAATGTCAAATAAAATATCGTCATCTTTAGGTATGCACGTGCAAACGTTTTGCAGAACATTTACTGATTAGCTCTGAGATTTTTGCTACCACTCGAAAAGATCAGGCCCTTTATTTTTGACATTGCAGGCAGTAAACCCCACAATCATGATCCCAGCCAGAGGTATGAATTTAAAATGTTGTGTTGTAGTATTAGCTAACCAAAGCAAAAAACCTACTCAATCAAAACTGACACAAAAAATTCTGAAGACTGAAAGTTGTCAAGTTGCTTTCAGTTGCTAATAATTTTGGACTGATGATCCAACACCTCCAGTATGTCTTTCAATTTCCACATCAAAGATAAGAGATAAGATAAGATAAGACTTTATTGATCCCACAACGGGGAAATTTTTGCGTCAGCTGTTCTTATTAACTTAGATATTATAATACAGCCTGCAAATGATCTGCATCATAACAGATTCTGGTTGTGGTGCTCTCAGCATAAAATAAATAAAATGTAAACAAGCAATCGTTAGACAAAAAAATTTACATTCAAGAAATTCCTATATAACTCTGAGACCCAAAGGGGTCTCAGAGTTATATAGGAGCTGACATTGGGCTATAGCCTAAGGTAATGCAGACCGCAGTAATTTGTTAAAATATATTTTTGTATTTTTTTTAGTAAGCCATTTAAAATTATGTGGAAATTAAAATATTTTAATTGTTGTATATTATATTGTAACTTTATGTCTATGTTTCAATTTGTATGTCTTTTATTTTATTGTCCATATTTTGATGTCGGGTTAATTTTTACCTCATCAAAATATTGTTTTACAATAGTATATTTTAATTTTTTTATACCATTTGTTTGTTTAATCTATTTGCATTTGTATGTTTAACTTTATTTAAAAAATGTAATTGCTGTAACAAAAGAGGAGATTAGCACTTAGCTTGTGTGGCTTCACTGATGTCACATGGAGAAAGGATGGTCGTCACACTGATGTGAAAAGAATGGCTCCAAACACACTACAGAGGATCATATTTTCACTTTGAATTACATTTAATTTCTCTTTTCACCATCACCCGAGGGATGAAGCGCCTGCACTAAGACCTGCTTCAGCTCCGCTTTGGCTCTGACATATTTTCAGACTCGTCTTGTTTAATTTCCTCCTTAACCGAGGGCGATAGCAGACACTGTTGAGCAACAGGTGCTTTCTGTTGTTTATCAATGAGCACAGAGGTGACAGTGTGCAGACTGTCACTAGAGGACCCCGCTGACATAAAGCAGCATCACAGCTTTGCCACTTACACACCAAGTCAAGTTGTGCATCACATGAGATCAAATTCTCTGAGCATCACAGAGATATTCTTTCACAGCTGAAATTTAAAGCTGATGGTCTCACCACTTACTTCTCCAAAATTTGATTCTGTCTTATAAACAGTACACTTCCATAATGACCGATTGGGGAAACCTGCAGTCAGCTGAGACTGAAGAAGTCACTTGGATGAGTGACAAAACGTTTCTCCCACTGAAAACGTCCAGATGAACAGAATCAACTTTTGGAGATTTACTTATCTGGATGATTGAGAATGCATCAAGATGTCACCACTTACTTGTTTGCCTGTTTGGGGTTATTGAAGCAATCCTGAACATTTGTGCAGGCTGTGCTTGTGCACCTGTTCCCCCAGATGGTAGATATCAATCTTGTTGCTTTTCCATTAATACATTTAATTGGGTATTGCAGACTCTGGTGAACAAAGATGATCAAATTACTGAGAATCTTCATGAATGTTCCACGTATCACCATCTCCCGCTATGGTACAATCCTGATTTTCACAGTTTAATTAAATTAACGCGTCTTGTTCCCAGAGTCTGGAGGATCCTCTCACACTCCGGTGTTTGCTTAAGCCACTGCAATGCTTGTTTAAGCTTAATTGCGGTGAACTGGAGCTTTCAATTGTGTTTATTGTTTCAGAAGAGAAGTGCTCTGGGGCACCTCTACTTCCAGAGACCCCTGATTTTTCTTTTCCATCAGAGCAAAGACCTCTGATTTCCTCTTATTGTGTGTGTGTGTGTGTGTGTGTCTTTCACACAATCAAGATTCAGTAAGATTGTTGTAGACTAGCAATAATCGCATTTGTGTTTATTTATCTATAAACGTCGGGAAAGTGGTAGCACGCTTTTCTCAGGGTCATTTGTCTGAATTAATGGGGGTCATGAGATGGTCTCACTAAATATAAACAAGGAAAATGTGACTGTGAGAAAGAAAGCTCGTATTAAGCAGTTCTGCTTTATGGTAATAAAATATGACAACATGTCAAAGGCGATGTTTGCTCTGAAACAGTTAGTGTTCATTTACAACTGCATCATAAATGTAGACATATATATTTCTTATCAGACAGGAGTTCTCAGTCATTTCCACTCAGTTTTTTTTTCTTGTACATCAAGTCATATTTACAGATATAATATATTACCACAGCAAATAAATTCAAAGCTCATACAGTATATGCATGTACACAAATTTCACTCTGCAATACAATATGAAGCACAACTGAGCATAAAGTGCATAATTTAATGACTCAAAATAAATTAAAAGTTTTCAACTAGTATGTCAATCCCTAACTTTTGCCCTCACTGTACAATGTTTACAATGTTCATGTTCAAACTCAGACAAAAAGAAAATCTGAGTGAAAAACTTCAAACCAGCAGGAGTTCAAAAGTTCAGTCTGTATAGTGTTAGAATACCAGAAGGTTTAACTTTTAAGATTAAAATGGAGAATTTGCCTTATAAACGCAACAGAGAGGAGGATTACGCTGTATACTCACATGAAACTTGAGAATAATATTTAAATCTAGACTTGTGATCTTGGATAATTCATATTAGATCTAATATTGGGTGGTATCTGGTGATTTTCAAGGAGGAAAAAGGTGCTCGTACCATCTTTTTAAATAGGAGCATCATCAGACTTTTCCTGATTTTGTTTCACTGTAAACAGCATGTCTTTGACAACAAAAACTTTGGTTTCCTGCAAAACTGAACATCTCACTTTAAACATTACACTCAAAGAGAAGCGTTACTCCTAAAATTAACCTTTAGCTTCAGTCCTAACTAATACAGAACATTTTTCAATAGGTTCTTTGATATTTTGAGTCCTGACTTTATAGATAGTGATGTTGAAAGACAACAATTTGTGAGTGTAAATACTGATCAAACTGCATGACTGATACAATTTATAACTGCGCATAAATATGTCTTTTGGACGAGTAATCCTTTTGGACCTGGAATTTATTCATTTTGACCTTCTCTCAGAGAAGAATAGTTATATATCACAAAAAAAAAATATTTTACACAAGATCGCTCATTTAGAACTTGATTCTTCTCAAGCTGACTGCTTAATGCATCTCATTAATCAGCATCTATCCACTGATTTATAGAACATTTTCTGTAGCTGTGGAAATTATGCAGAAATTTCCCAGTCTACTGTGGAACAAGAGCCTCTGTGCCCTCGCTGTGTTTTGTTTTGTTTTTTTAATAATTTGAGACAATATCTTTGTGTGTTTTCCGGGCTATAGAACAAAAACGTCTGTCTTCACAACCTTATAAACTCTACTCTACATTAGTCATGGAGCTAACATGACTGTGCCCTTCAAAACTCACTGTACAGTAGAGTTTCCAAATGAATCAGTCCTAACAATAACTATGTGAATACTCATAGTGACTACTCACAAGAAGCACAATCAGGACTATTTCATTTACTACACTGACCACAAGCTTGTAGTCATCACAGTTTGGAGACAGTAAATAGAGCTTTACAGTAAAGGTTTCCACAATGGTTGAACAAAGTAAATTAAATTGAGAATGATAAGTTTTTTCATCAATGTTATGTGTCTAACATAGGGGCGATCGCGCGAACATATATAGGGGCGACCGTGGCTCAAGAGTTGGGCGTTTGTCTTGTAATCGGAAGGTTGCCGGTTCGAGCCCCGGCTCTGACAGTCTTGGTCATTGTGTTGTTGTGTCCTTGGGCAAGACACCTCACCCGTTGCCTACTGGTGGTGGTCAGAGGGCCTGGTTGCGCCAGTGTCCGGCAGCCTCGCCTCTGTCAGTGCCCACAGCTAACACACCCATGTGTGTGAATGGGTATACGATTGTGTTAGGACCAAGTAAAGCGCTATACAAATACAGACCATTTACCATAACATCTTTCTTAGGCAAAATGGCAAAATCTGCTCACACAGTCAGTCATCACAGAGATTGCTGGGTGCTGAAACAAACAACGGGACGATATCACTCACAGCACTTATCTCTTTCCCACTGCATGGGCTCTACTAGATAGAAGAGTTACTTATTATTTATGTGCTACTTCCATTTTTGAGTTCTTCAAAAGGTCTGTTGTAGAGAAATAAAACGGTATTTCTCTGGTTGGGTCAGATGCATTTCTCCTTTACTGTCTCGGTGTTCAGCGTGACCTGAAGTGCTGGATCTTTAGGGCATGGAGATGATGGATGATCTGTGATTGCATTTGTCTCGTCTCTGGTCTGATCCTCAGCGCTGCCCTCTTGGGATGAGTAAGAAGCTTGTGAATTTCTTGCTGAAGGTGGTTGTGAAGCAGAGAGTTTGTTTGACTTAGGACATTTTTCAGTGCACATCTCAGTTTTATCTTTATAGTAGAGGAAGGTTTGACAGGTGCTGTTGCTATCTCGTTGGTCACTAGACACCAAGGAGTTAGAGTCCCTGTTATAGATCACAGAGGAGAGCTGATAGGCATCAATACAGGGGAAGTTTCCCTGTCTCTGTTGCCTCCTTGCTCCCATTTTACAGAACAGGCACTTGATTTTCTCAATGAGCTTGATGAGAACAGCCTTGCGGAGCAGGATGTAGATCCAGGGGTCAAAGATGGGGTTAAAAGAGGCAAAACGTATTGCCCGTAGATCAGGGTTTTTGTCCAGCCGCACCTCCACTGGAGTCTTATAAAGCTGGTTTAAAAACACCTGAGCCTGCAGGGGAGAGGAGAATAGTGACTGAATGAAAAGATATGGATGCGTATGTTTGAGAGGCCACTAATATAAACATGAGAGGGAAGAGAGTCAGTTCACCTCTAATGTAAACTGTTTTACACTTTTACATAATCCTGCATACAGCAGCTGTGCTGAGTAAGTGTGATTAATCTGGACTGTAAGTGTTGTGGCTGAAAAGGTAAAAGGAAAAGTTTATTCGCTACAGATATTTTTTCTTTTTCACATTTTTTTAAACCTAACTAAACAGTTTTCTGCACTTAAAAAACATTTTTGTGTGAAAAAGAACCATGCGTAAAGCGTGCGTAATGGTAACATGCAACCGAAAAAATAAAATAAAACTTACAACAAGTGGTATAGAGCAGATGAGGACTACTACCGATGTGCCTATGAGTAGAATAACCATCTGAATCTCTGCACCGGCCAGACGACCAAAGCTGCGTGCTCTTCTTCGCGGGTCCACGCTGCGTCCCACATCGGTGCCAAGCGACATCCTACGCACAAAGCGTCGATGCATCCGGATCAAAGCCACACACACCAACACATTACAGATGACAGTGGAGAGAATAAGAAGAGAGCTGAAACCAGCATACATGTAGGAGTAGGCGGCATCGCTGGTCTTGTTGCTCCTCCACTCTAAAAAACACCACGTTTGTGGGTACTGTTTCTTCACCTGCCCAAAGCCCATAATTGGCAGGGCGCAGAAAAAAGCATTTGAGATGTAGATCGCTACTAGAGTCAGTCCCGCCAGTTTTTGGTCCACGTAGTCGTTGTAGAAATAGGCATGGTTTATAGCAATGTATCTCTCTACCGACATGGCACATATGATGCTGAGCCCTGCCAGCGAGAAGAAAAGCATGGTGAATCCAAAGTACTGGCACAGCGGGTCCTCTCCGGGCCACGCGCCTTTCACATAAATGGCGATGGTGACCGGACTGGCCAGCAGCGTGCCAAGCAGGTCCGTGATCGCCAGGCCACACACCAGCGTGTAAAACGTAGTTTCTTTCTGTTCTTTCCGAGATTTACAAAGGACCACGATGGCGATGAGGTTTCCAACCACCCCGAAAATGAACATAATGGACGGAATGGTGGGGACCATGGTCCTCCCTGTGGTTTGATTATTCATTGTGAAGTCCAAACGCACTTCAAGACAAGTGAAGCAACTCTTTTTATCGCCTGTATTTCCAGTCCAGAGCAAGAAACTTACCTACAAGTGAAAGAAGCCTGGGCAGCATTTTCAAAATAAGAAAGTAGTCTTATCTGAAAACTAACCTTTAAAAAACTTACAAAATCCCCCAAAGCATCCTCCGCATGCTGCCTCTGTGGTAACCAACAACTCCGTGGTGCTTTCTTATCAGATCCTCAGCTAGCTGTGCAAGACAGAAGCAGATTTCACTCACCACGCCAGAGAGATAAAGCAAGCAACACCAGTGACTTCATTGAAATGAGGCTCTGCCTTCTGGCGTCTTGCTGGGCTCAGCCCCTCCCCTTCATTTTACTTCACAGCCCTAATCAGCAGTTCAGGAAAAAGGTCACATTTTGTAACACAGAGATTAACCACAACTCACAGCAATTTCTTTACACCATGGTATAACATTATTAGGTAGGGGGAAAAGGACAAAACAAAAGTGAGTCTGAAAAATAAAAGTGTAGTTTTTTGCTTTCAAAGTTTCCACTTCAGGACAGAGAGAGGGAGGGAGGAAGAAAAGGAAAAAAATCTATATTTTTCTTACATTTTGATCTGTTAGGGTGGATTTTACTTTGAGAAATGATTGATCGCAAAAATTAACCAAAAGATTCACATGAAAACACGCAAGATTAGGTGATGGGAAATAAGACAATAATTCAACTAAAGGTTATACTTTGATATCTGACTTCCATACAACCATTTCATATTTTGCTTACTGGTTCAAGAGTCTTTTTGTTCCTTAGGTACTGATAAAAATCAACAAAATGTGAAAAGGCTCCAGTGACATCAGTTAGTTTCCAGTCTAATTCTGATCACATATGTTTATAAGATTGTCATAAAATGTCAAACAAACAGCCTCTTTGAATAAGGCTGTAACAAAACTTTCTGTTCCTATGATCATATTTTAATGAGAACAGTTTATTAGTAACTTAAAATTCAGCCGCCAAACACATTTTGTTTCAATTAAAGGCAAAACAAGCACCCATCATTTTCACTGTGGAGTACATAAACACGATGTTAAGGTGAGAGCAGTGGTCTTCTTTTTATTTAATTCCTTTCAATAATTGTCAAAAAACACAAAACACATCAAAACAAAAGTGACATTTAAACAAACCAGCAGATGTACACGGTAGTTAATCTGTAGAGATGACTTACTGAGGTAGTTAGTTGTCTAAGAACGTCAGGTATATATAATACATATAAATAGTGGAAAGTGTTAGTCATAGCTAAGTTTTACCAGTCTACAAAGGGTTTCCGGGGGTTTCTGAAATTTATCAGATGAGCCACACAAACCGATTCTTCATTTCTCAAGATGAAAATGTCTGTGAGTCCATCACGATCTGTGAAAGTTCTTCCAGTTTAGGAGAACCAATATTTATGCAATTTTTATGTTTGTTTTCTGTGACTTAATACTACTACTTGATACACTGGAACACAATCCACAATCACATGCAATTGAGCCTTCAACCTGCTGCTATGTCAAACCTCAGCTGGCGAGTAAATGCCAGCTGAAGTGTACAATGTCTATGTAAAGCAGCAATAAAGGAATCTTTATCTTACCTTATCTTGGAAAAGAATTCTACATGTTTTGATTTAGCTGACTATATACAGTGGGGCAAAAAAGTATTTAGTCAGCCACCGATTGTGCAAGTTCCCCCACTTAAAATGATGACAGAGGTGAGTAATTTGCACCAGAGGTACACTTCAACTGTGAGAGAGAATGTGAAAAAAAAATCCATGAATCCACATGGTAGGATTTGTAAAGAATTTATTCGTAAATCAGGGTGGAAAATAAGTATTTGGTCACCTCAAACAAGGAAAATCTCTGGCTCTCACAGACCTGTAACGTCTTCTGTAAGAAGCTTTTCTGTCCCCCACTCGTTACCTGTATGAATGGCCCCTGTTTGAACTCATCATCTGTATAAAAGACACCTGTCCACAGCCTCAAACAGTCAGACTCCAAACTCCGCCATGGCCAAGACCAAAGAGCTTTCGAAGGACACCAGGAAAAGTATTGTAGACCTGCACCAGACTGGGAAGAGTGAATCTACAATAGGCAAGCAGCTTGGTGTGAAAAAATCAACTGTGGGAGCAATCATCAGAAAATGGAAGACATACAAGACCACTGATAATCTCCCTCGATCTGGGGCTCCACGCAAGATCTCATCCCGTGGGGTCAAAATGATCATGAGAACGGTGAGCAAAGATCCCAGAACCACACGGGGGGACCTGGTGAATGACCTGCAGAGAGCTGGGACCAAAGTAACAAAGGTCACCATCAGTAACACACTACAACGGCAGGGAATCAAATCCCGCAGTGCCAGACGTGTTCCGCTGCTGAAGCCAGTGCATGTCCAGGCCCGTCTGAAGTTTGCCAGAGAGCACATGGATGATACAGCAGAGGATTGGGAGAATGTCATGTGGTCAGATGAAACCAAAGTAGAACTTTTTGGTATAAACTCAACTCGTCGTGTTTGGAGGAAGAAGAATACTGAGTTGCATCCCAAGAACACCATGCCTACTGTGAAGCATGGGGGTGGAAACATCATGCTATGGGGCTGTTTTTCTGCCAAGGGGACAGGACGACTGATCCGTGTTAAGGACAGAATGAATGGGGCCATGTATCGAGGCTGGGTCTTCCAACATGACAATGATCCAAAACACACCGCCCGGGCAACAAAGGAGTGGCTCCGTAAGAAGCATTTGAAAGTCCTGGAGTGGCCTAGCCAGTCTCCAGACCTCAACCCCATAGAAAATCTGTGGCAGGAGTTGAAAGTCCGTGTTGCTCAGCGACAGCCCCAAAACATCACTGCTCTCGAGAAGATCTGCATGGAGGAATGGCCAAAATACCAGCTACTGTGTGTGCAGGTCTACAATACTTTTTTGGAGTATTTATAGCAACAACTTAAAAACTAGTCAGATGCACATCTAATCGCATGCTACTCATAGTTAGTTATTGTCGTACCATTCAGTCAGCAAAAATACTGTTAGATTAAATTACTAAGGGTGTGTGTTTCAGTCACACGTTTTTCTATGTATAATTTGCTATTGTGCGATAAGTTACAACTGATCCTAATGTGCTGCACTCAAAACTTCAGTGGCTCGAAGTAGAAGAGTGTCGGTATGGCAGCAATTGCTTTGAAATCTCTTTCATATTTGCTGTGTGTTTTTGGCTGTATGTTCTATGTGTGTCCTGTAGATGGGGATTTGTGGTGGTGTGTGGGACTGTAGCTAAGGTTTATGTTTTTAACTGGTAATTATGTGACAAAGCCTTTCAGTTCATTTTGCAGAGTAATGAGAAAGTCACATAAAGAGTGTTATGAATCACTTTATCCACCCAACTTTAAGAATGCTACTGGATTACTTTCAAGAAAAGGAACAAGTAATGTGTAATACATTACTTTTTTTAGGTACCGACCTCAACACTGTATTTCCATGATACACTTACATAACCCGAGTCAGGACAATGTGTTGGAAATCACTGGTGTTCACTTGAACTTGAAGTAAATGACAACTAACCTACACTGCTGATACAGCAAGTCTGTCTGTAATCAGGCCTGGGCGTGGCCAGAAAAACTGAGCTCAGCTTTTCAAAAGATTTCTTTAACAGCAGTTAATCCATGATTTAACAAGGGGCTAGGTCACTTTAGCTAGTTTTAATTATTTAAACTTCAAAGTTTAATAAACCGAATCTTTCTAAATTTTTTAGTTTCACATTTTGGGTGTACTCAGGTTGTCTTTGTCTAATACAGAAATTAGTTCTATGATCTGAAACACGTAAATAGGACATATATGCAAAAAACCAGAAGGCGGGAAAATACCTTTTCCCAGCACTGCATGTGAGGGCAATGAATGATTATAAAGGACCTCCGTGACTGTTGACAAACAAACAGTTTCTGCCACTTAGCTTCGGTGGGTGGGGTCAGTCAGTGTGCGGGTGCACTTGTAGATGCAGCCGGACTGTCGCCTGTGCTGTGCTTAACCCTGAGCTACCTGTCACCTGTGCAAAACCAGCACGGACAAATTGTCTGCATGGAAGGTGTTTGTTTTTGTTTTAAGTTAATAAGTAAAGATTACTGTGAATGTGCAAGCCTTTAAAAAAAACACACACACATACACACACGGGGAGAGTCCACAACTTCTGGCTACTGCTTCTTTTTAACTAGACTGTGACAGAACACGTTGAACTCTTGAGACCTTGAGTCCCCTTATCTGACGTCATCCTGTTATAGTGACTCTATCAAAACACAATCTGTTGCTGTCAAAGTTACAGACATTTTACAGCCTTGAAAATGTTTTTTTTGTTTGTTTTAGCATTGCATTCATATGTAGTCCGTATTACATAATTGGCCTTAACACGTCAGCCCGACCAGAAAACACAGCTGTGTGCGTGAACATACTCATACCCTACAACTTCCAGTTGTTTGTTTCTCTGAAGTTATGTTTAGTTTCAGGGCTATCCGAATGTGCTGCAAGTAGATTGGAAAGATTAGGCTTCACATGAATGTGCTTTTCCTGGATTTGTGTATTGAAGTCAGATAACCTGCAGCATAGCTGCACTGTAACTTAGAGTAATAACCACCAACACTACTGAAATAATCAATTTTCCTCTAAATACAATTCTGTAGATAGTTATTGTAGATAGACCATTGCACAATGTGGTTTTTGCATGGGCTTTTCTATTTGTACGTTTGTTTTTGTGTGAGCTGTACTGTCTAAAGAAAGCAAATCACACACAAAAAAAACCCTACTTCCCAAAAGCATTTCTTCTTGCTTTAATTCCTGTGCCAAACAATTACTACATTGTGTTGTGGAAAGGATTTATAGATTCCTATGTCCTCAAAGTATTATAATTTACGGGTGAGGGAATGCACATTTTTCTCCCATGGTTTTGTTTCCCAGAACAGTCATTTATAGAGAAGAAAAACTGCTATTACAGGTGTGTGGCACTCTGTATTTGCTACAGCATTTACAGTAGGCGTTGCTCTGGATTATTTCCCTTGCAACAATGCTCCTGTGTTTTGGTTTACTGTTAGGCTGGCTCTAAGATTATGACTGCTACCCGTAGAGCAGCATGATTGCTGAGGACAGGTAGAGACAGATTTGATAGCTCGGGGGATGGGTCAAAGAAAACTGTCTTCATTCCTTATTTAATTCCCTGTACGCAGGGATGAGCTGCCTACACGCCCACCAGTTTCATAACTGACAAATGTTGCTCTAGAGCTTTGGAGAGGC